TTTTGTTCAACATTACATTTGTGAGACTCTATGCTGTTTGTGGAGACGGTTTCTGTGTTTTTAGTATTGTGTGGATTTATACTGTTTGGACATATCACAATTAGTACAATTTAGGAATATAATCTAATGACATTCATAGTTAGAAATTTAAACCTTTACATAATATATCTTGATCCTTTTTTTTCCTTTCCCCTGATCTCCCTTCCACTCCTCCTTATTTACAAAGACTTTGTTTCTATTTTTTTCATTTTCTCATATTAATTCCATTCCCTTCTTTCTTTTCCCCTAACCCTCCCACTTTGCACCTTTTCTTCCTGTTTCACATTAACTATTATACATTTTGATCCTTATTTACACTTTCAGTTTTGAAACTTTGGTATTTACACATGTGTCCTACTTATTTCACTTCAGAGTATGGCCTCAATGTGCATCCATTTAGCTATAAATGTCTCTAATTTCTCATTCTTTATGGCTCAGTAGTACTCCATTGTATTAAAATACCACATTTTCTTTATCCAGTCTCCAGTTGATGAGCATCTGGTCTGTTTCCAAGTTTTAGTTATTTTGAACTGTGCTGCTGTGAACTCGAGTGCACATATATCACTGTGGTATGATTCTTTTAATTCTTTGGGGAAGATACTCATCAGGGGAATAGCTCTGCAAAATGGGACTTCCAATCCTAGTTCTTTCAGGTATCTGCATACTGATTTCCACATTGACTGTACCAGTCTACACTCCCACCAACAGTGGACAAGGGTTCCTTTTCCCCCACATCCCTGCCAGCATTTGTTGTTGATTGATTTCATGAAAACAGTCATTCTTTCCAGGACGAGGTGGAACCTCGGTGTTGCTTTCATTTGCATCTCTGGAATGACCAGTGATGTTGAACATGTTTGCATTTATTTATTTGCTCTATTTCTTTGTCTGAGAAATGTCTGTTCATTTCAGATGCCCATTTTTTGATTGGGTCTTTAAATTTGGGAGGTCTGATTTTTTAAAATTCTTTATATATTCTAAACAGTAGACTTTGTCTGAGGAACAGCTGGTGAAAAGTTTTTCCCACATTGTGAGTTGCCTCTTCACACTGTCCATGTTTTGCAGAAACTTTTCAGCCAGAAGAGATTCCACTTGTTGATTGTTTTTGCTAGTTCACCTGCATCTGAGGTATTGTTCATGAAAGCTTTTCCTATGCCAATGTCTTCAAGAGTTCTACCTAACCTCTCTTCCTGCTGGTTTAGGATTTCTGTTTTAATATTTAGATTTTAATCCATTTTGATTTTAGTTTAGTGCATGGTGAGAGATATAGATCTAGTTTAAATCTTTGGCAGGTTGAAACCCAGCTTTTCCAGCACCACTTATTAAAGAGGCTATCTTTCCTCCAGTGATGGTGTTTGGCTCCTATGTCAAATATGATGTGGCTGAGTATGTCTGGAGTTGTTTCTGCATCTTCTTATCTGTTCCACTGGTCCTCAGGTCTTTTCCTTTTCTAGTACCATGCTGTTTTTATCTCAGTAGCTTTGTAGTATAGTTTCATGTTGGGCATTGTGATACCCCCTTTAGACATGCCACAAGTTATTTGTTCTTTATGCTAATGGTGGACATTACAGTGATTTTTACTATTACAAATAAATTACTGGGAACATTCTATTATATTTCTTTTGGTTGGTATATGAGTACATTTCTGCTTAGAATAGAATGCCTTACAGTGGAAATGTCATGCCATAAGTCTGCTTTAATACATACTGCCACTCAGTTTTTCAGAGTAACTGTACAAATTCATATTCCCACAAGCTTCATTCTTTCTTTTCCTCTTTCTCCTCCTCCTCCTCCTCCTTCTCCTTTTCTTTCTCCTTCCCCTCCTCCTCCTCCTTCTTCTATTTCTTCTTCTGGGTGTGTGTGTGTGTGTGTGTGTGCACTAGGGACTAAATCCAAGACTTCACACAAGCTAAACAAAAGTTCTGCCACTGAGCTGCACTCCCAGCCCCAAATATTTTTTAAAAACACAATGGTTAACAATAATAGCTATCAGGGAATTAAATTGTTTTCCTACAAGTAAAAAAAGAATATGATTTGGACACGCATTAGTAGGAATTGTGATGAAAATACTAACCAGCAAACACAAGAATATGTTGTAATAAAACAAAGATGAGAGATCAATTCTTACCTCCAAAAGGAATTCTCCTAAATGCACCAATTTTAAACTCTTTTTTTTTTTTTTTTCTCCATAGGGTCTGGTATAGAAAACTGGACTGAAGAAATAGTTGCCATTTTAAAGATGTTCTATTTAAAACTGATTTCATTGTAATATTTAGATTTCTTAAATAATTCAGAGGGATGGACAGATAAGTGTGGCTCAGGAAAGTTAAGCAAATTGCCTTTGATTGAAAGAAATAAAAATCAGGAAATCAAATCTGTTAGGATTTACAGTCCAAATGTTGCAAGTCAATAATGATATACTTGGCACATTTTTTTGGCCGGAAGAATTAATTGCTAGATTAGGTTCAAATGCATTTGTTCTGCTTGTACCATATGATATTAAAGTAGCAATTAATTCTGAAAAATCAAAAAATTTTATAAGAGCAACATCTGGAATTGTTTTCTTCTAACCCAGTGGTATGTATTTCATACAGTGGCTGTTTTTCACATTATGTTCACTGACCACCAATTCTGTGGCCAAAGTCACAATGAAATCAACAGAATGAGTTTTTTTAATTTTAAACACTACAGAGCAACATATAAGCCAATTTTTTTTTTTTTACAATTTAGTTGAACTGAACAGAAATCATAATCTCCAGAAGGCCACATGAGTACAGGAATGAAAAACAAATAATCCAGAAAGATGACAATTCAGGGAACTTCACATTAGGACAGACAGTAAGTACAGTGAAATCCCACAAGGCTGAGCCCCTATGGGTGGAGTTTTTAAGAAAAGACTCACAGAATAAGCAGAACTGGAATTAAGGTTTGAGGGAAAGGTGCAGGGTGGGTATGTGGCAATTTGGCCAAAAAATGGAAAGGGCAGCTGAGAGACACATGGGTGATGTGAGGACAGTGAGCAGGCTCCTTTGTTGAAACAGACTTGGAGGCCAGCCTTAGGCAGAAATGGCACAATCCAAAGCCAGGGTATGATGACAGGCCTAGGAATGTGAGGCATCGACATTCCTGTAAGGTTTTATGGCTCAGGCAAGCCCAGGTCTCTATGAACATGAGAACTGTGGTAATGTTGTGGGCACACCCAGGGCTTCCGCCTTTGAAACCTGATGCTTCAAATGTGAAAGTTAATCCTCCCTGCCAAAAGGCTGCTCTCAGGTCTGGATCTTTCAGATCTGTCCCATGATACACAGCTGGCCACCTCCAGATCACATGCAACTCTGGAAGCCTGATGTAATGTTGAGTACAGGGTGTGCACTGCCGTGAGCATGAGATGTAGGTAATATGGAAGGAAAGATTCAGCGGGGAAGGAAAGTCAAGGACAGCCATAACCTTTAAGTGTCTCAGGGGACTGAGAGATCATGAAGATCTGGAGGAAGAACTGTTCCAAGAAAGTGTGGACAGAATGAGTAGAGAAAAATAACAGGGCATATGCAAAGAGACTGAGGGGAAATAGGGATCCATTGTCCAGGAAAAGCATAACTATCCACTTTGTAAATAAATTTTCTTGGGGCAAGTAACAGAAAATTAATTTTAAATTTCATCCTTGCCATACAGGCTTACCATTTACAATAAAAGGAATATACACACTACCATTTATTAAAGTACTTATATAGTTAAAGTACTTACAGTAAATGTTCTTAATTGCTAAAGTTGAAAATATAGAGTTCTTGCATTGGTTGGACAAGACAATGTTTATATTTTAATAAACTTTGTTATATATACCTCATATATAAATTATTTTCTTTTAATACAGAACTCTGTGTGTGGAAGGGGGTGGTTATCTAACAGCGTATCTTACAATACAAACAATGAAAGGAATATTAAAATTTAGTGTTTTTAAATTTTGGGTGGTTGTTGCTTAATAACAATACATGATTCAGACCCTGTAAAAAAACTGAAGTTTTTATTTTGAGAAAGTGACTTCATATTCCTTTGGGACATTTTTATCTTAATATTGCCACATATAACCAAAACCTTCCCAGACTTCAGTAGCTTACAAATAAAAATGGGAATAACGGCATGAACGTCTCAGTGTTGCTAGCTCCTAGTCACCAAGAGTACTGCCACAGGCAAGGCTCAGAGCCCTCCAAAGGCTCTCTCTGAATGGTATCCCTCACAGCGTAGTGGGGACAAAGCCACACTGTGCGCCCTCATGGGTTCAGCACAGGCTACCTCAGAACAGGTCACTGAGGCTCTTCAGGAGGCACCAGGAGCAGGAAGATCACGCTCCATCTCCTTTCACGCTTCCACTCCAAAGAGGTCATAAAACTGAAGAAGGTCTCACCCTGCCCTCGTTCCATCCTTCCTCTCTGAAACAGATCTTAACACCACTCCAGAGTGCCTTCTCTATCCCTGGAGAAAAGGAGCAGCACACCCATGTCTCTGAAGTCCCCCCACCCACTTTCTGGAGATTCTGTTCTGTAATCATCTTTCTACATGAGTCTCTGCTATCCATCAAAGCTAAACACAAAAAGTAGATTTTTCCCTTGTATTTTGGATTTTCATTTCTGAAGCCTCTTGTGTCAAGCACAACATACACCCAATACATTTATATGACTTCCTCTTTATCTTTTCTTCTAGGGGCCACAGCCATGAACCTAAGACAGGGAGAAAAGATATTTCTTCTCTGATATGTGTCTCAAGCTTGGCTGAATGAACACATCTGCTGTTGCCTCCAAAAGCAACAACTTTCCTGCCTGTACCATTACGTTTGGCTCCTGAGGCCTGTAAAACCCTCAAACTGCCAAACTGCACCAGATCCCTTCAGCTCTCACAACACTGAAGGTAAAATGAAAGAAAGCCCTTCTTCCCAATCCCAGAATTTGAGTCAGCACTTTGCAGCTCACCTGTTTCACAGAGACTTTGGAGTAAAACTTTTCCTTGGCTTCTGTCTGAAGAAAGAACTGAGTCTCTGTGACCTAGGAAGGAGAAGTCGAATACAAACCTTTCCAATTTCTCTTTCTGTCTCAGGGACTGGCACACACAGCTCACTCCTCCCAAATTTTCAACAGCGTCATCCCCTCAACATGTATATCAAATCATCCATGAAGTTTTCAGATCACTAGTTTGCAAATAGGGCGAGTCTTTCTCAGTTTAGGTTTAAAATGACCCTGCTCCTTGGGAAAGCTTTTATTCTGCAACCTGAGCCTCCTCTATTTTCTACAATGGAGTAGAAACAAATGCACTTACTGTCCATCAGTAATATCTTCCACCTTGGAATTTGCACATGACACTCATGCTAAGAAGAGGTACCTGCCAGGAATTTCATATTGAGCATTCATATGGTCCAGATCACCGATCATCTGCTTTGAGATTCTATTCTCTGAACAGCTGTGGGTGTGACTCAGAAACCCAGTTCTCAAAGCTGATCAATGATCACCTGGCATCTTGTCTGCACTGTCTAGTTGGTCTTTTCAATGTAGTTAAATTATATATTTTTAGATATTGTCAAACACTAAAATACTGTATTATCATTCTGTTCATCTACGAGTTTTTATAAATCATTTTTCCTCTTTAAAGAGTTTTTGATATTGAAGGAACATCTAAATTCTTAGGAAGAATTTTTTTTAAAGTCACATAAAGATAAAGCATCAATAAACAGAAACCTTGCCAGCATAAAGCTAGTAACATGGCCTTGGTATCTAAGGGACAATCACTTCTTCAAACATGAACAATCAGGGCCTGCCAGAAATTCAGCATCCACATTTTTGTGGTCTCTCTGGTCATAGATTATTATCTTTGGATGCTTTTTCCGTGGGTGGTCCCTAGAGCATAATGGAGACTGTTGATTCTGCAATAGGGCTTGACTTAGAATAACCCCGAGTTTTGTATTTTCTAGTACTTATTGCAGATTCCTTACTAAGAACTTCCCTATTGTACTTAACCTCCAAGAGGAAATTTGGAGTCTTGCTGATAAACCACTCCTCTTTCATCTGTAAGTTCCTAGTTGGCCACTGGGGAGAATTAGAGAAAATATTAAGGCAGTAGGGCACTTAGTTCATACCTGTTCCCTTAGCTGCAAAGGGTAGCCATATTCTGACCTTTCTCTGAGGCTACTGTTTCATCTTGACCATGATTATCACAAATCATATTCCATGTCGTAGCATATAGCTTCAGTCTCCCACACTTTAGAGAGGACCAGGCTTGGCTGCAGAACAAAATCACAACTACCTCTTTCCCTTTTGTTTTACTTTATTTTTATTTTCAAATACTCTCATGGTATTAGCCAACTGAATTGTGCATGAAAGAGTGTTACTCCCTCTAACACAGTTTTACAAGCTATAGTCATTTCCCAAATTGAATCTGTGGCCTGTTTTAGTAAATTTTTACTGGAAAATGGCCAAAGCCATTGTTTTACATATTGTTCCTGGCTAATTTCACACTACAAGAGCAAAGTTGGGTATTTTTGACAGAATCTGTATTTCTCTCAAAGAAAATAATATTTACTATATGCTCTTTTGCAGAAAAAGTTTAAAAACTCCTGCTCTAAAATAATGATATTTAGGATTACCAGAGAAACTAAAAGGTATCAGTTGGACACTAATCTCTGAAAAATGGTTAAGTTGTGTTTATTATAATTAAAACAGTGTCATCCAAGATCACTAATAATTGTTAGTTTTGTGGAATGTTACTAGGTTTAATGAAAAAAGAGGAAATTGCAATCAAATAACTTGGGCAATTTCTGGAATAAGTCAAGTAAAACATTTTATTCTTGGTATTTCTTTTCAAGTCCTTTAAGGTGAGATTTGTGACAACTTCATAAAAGGGGATTTAATTGTACAGAATTGCTAAAGTCAAGTGGCCTTGAAAATCCTTCCTTTTCATGGAGTCTTTCATAGAGTTGGCGTTGGGAACATACTGTGGAGAAAATGGCTTCCTTGGAGCTGGCAAATCTGATAATACTGTTTCAGGTCACTTAATTTATGTGCTTTTGGAATGTTTATCTTGAACAATCTGGCTAACAGGGAAGTGATTATTACCACAGGTAACTTAATTCCTCTGGGAATACATGAAGTTTGACCCCTCTGGTATGTTAGCCTTTCACCCAGAATGCACTGGGAACAGTGTTAGATTGATACTGCTTCTATGACAGAGCAGAATAGAACTTCCTGCATAAAACTTCCACTTAATCCAAAGAAATCCTCTAGCCCTTTCTTCACCGCCCAAACTTCAGAAATGCCAAAAGTCTGTGGAATATTTATTCAAATGAGTCCCTAGTGATTGCTCTTCCACGTGACCTGCCAGCACTCTGTATGTGAAACTTATGTGGGCATCAAGAGGTCTCTGAAAGACTGATGTGTCCTTGGGGTAAAGCAGGAAGGAACAATGGGAAAGCTACTGAATATCGGGAAATGTTTCCCCAAGATCAGGCGATGTTTCGGCATGTGGGACAGAGTACAAAGCAGCTTTACTGCCCAAACCATATTAAATTAAACTGCTAGCTTCCAGTGCCAATTTTGTCAGAGGGCACTTTCAGTAAAGTGGCACACAATGGCCTAAGCTGCCTCAGTAACTTAGAAGCTGAGAAATTGTGCTTGTGTTTCCAAAAGCAAAGTTTTAACTACCACAAATATTTTTGAAATTCTTACTGACGTGGTCACCTATTTGAATGTTATTGATCATGTGCCAAGTATTGTTGATAGTAGCCAAGCAGGATCTGGAAATCAAAACAATGACTTTCCAGGTCAAACTGTTATTGGCTCTATGGAATGACTTCTTCCTCAACCAGTACTAGGAACCTGTGTGCTTGCTTAGAGAAAGACAACTCTTTATCTGACTGCTGATTCTGTAGCCATCTAGGTCTGAGAAGGAAACCAATCATGGATCAACATAGGATAAGGGTATAAAAGGCACCAGAATATGCTACCCTCAAAGATGCCACATTGGCATAAGCAAAATTTTCAGCTAAAAGCAATTGAAAAATAACAAATAAATGAAGAACTTTTTGTTCTCCTTTTCCTTTTGTAAAAAGTAACAAATTTATTGTGAAGGTGTTCCTTCTCAGCTATTGTGAAACAGAAGGAACCCTTATGACAGGAGACAGAAAGTCTGCTCAGGATAAACATGCATAATAAACAATCTTTCCCAAACTTGAATCTACCATACACTGTCAAGTCGCCCAAATCTGCCATCCTAGGAATCCTGATCTTTCATTTCCTTCATCTCATTGCTTCTCCACAAATTATCATCTTGTATTAAGATACTATATAAAATCCAAAATTCTGACAATCTTTTTGAGTTACTCATCACTGAACTCTTCACTAAAGAGGATTCTTTAATCCTTCCAGCTAATTTGTCTTCTGTCAGTTTAGTTCACAGACCATTGCCACTAAACCTAAGAAGGTAGAAGGCATGCTTTTTTCTCTCTCTCTCTCCCCCCAGTACAGTACAGAGTGGCTTAATGACAATGCAGATCACAGCTGACTAAAAATTTAAGATTTCCCAGAGTTACACTGAGCAAACGTTTGAATACATTCACAAGGGACCATCCTTGCTCCTTTGTCTACAGTGCTTACCTTGGTCCTTGAATGGGTGCAAGAAACACAACTGAGCTTGTCATGAACAAATAAACCCCATAATGCTGGACTTGCAAAACAAAAATAATGACCTAAACAAGTGGCTTACATTAGACCTAACGTACTATTGATATTAGTAATAATCTTATGTAGACTGCTATTGACAGTGCATTTGTTATCTCCTTGCAGTAACCTATGGATAAGGATGATTAAAATTATTTTGCAGAGAAAGAAATTAAGACTTGAGAATTTTGCCTTAGACTGTGTATGTAGTTAAGCTGAAGTCTTTCAGCTTGAAGATCTTATGTCTATTGCCTATGGGTTCTGTGTTAAAACTTATTTAGGCCCAAGTCCCTTCCACGAAGACCCTTCTGCTGAACAGGAGTTCACAATCATATAACAAGATCTTTGCTGATTAGTACATCATTTAGCAAATATTTACTGAGAACTGCCATATGCCAGGTGCTGTGCTTGGTGTTATGGAAATGATACTGCACACATTGGGCAAACAGTCTCATCCTCTTGGAGTCTTCAATCATGTTGGGAGTGACAGACATTTAAAAATATATCAGATAATTGTATCAATCAAGCCCTGGTGATGCAGGGCTGAGGGACAGGAAATGCCGGATGGATGCACTGTAGAATAAGTTTCAGGAAGAAGCTCTCATTTGAGCAAAGATCTGCATGAGGCAAGAAAAACAGCCCTGATAATATATAAAAAGAGTAACTCCGGCAGTGGGAACAGCAAGGGCGAAGGTGGAAGCAGGAGTAACAGAGTTGAACCAGAATAAAAAGGCCAGAGCAACTGGAGTTCAACTGGTGAAGAGTCTGGGTCAAGATGGGTGAAGTCGTCTCTTTCCTTTTCCTCTACAGCCCATTCTCTTGGTCCTTTGTCTCTGTGGCACAACTGAGTGACCTTCCACTCTTCTAAGCCACCCTTTTCAGTTTGTCTGCAATACAATTAATATTTCTCCTCCTCATATGTGTAGATTTTTCATTATCTGAGCATTATTTCTCTCCTAATTCCACGAGCCAGTGGACACCCTAACACCTTGACTACTGTATCTGACCTGTGACGGGCTGAGGAGAGAAATATTTTTCAAATTTTCAAAAATCACTGACATGCACATGTGCTCTCTCACCCCACCCCTTTCCAACATAGGACTCAGTGCCCCAATTTAGTTATGGCTTAGTAGCCTTTGGTAGCAGAAGCTGTCCTTGCCTTGCCTATATCTTTCATAATATCCATATAACTTTCATGCCTAAGGGTACCTTCATCTCACAAATGCAGAAGGCACTCGTCTACCTGCTGTTTGCAAAGAGTAAATTCCCCTACTAATAATGAATTAGTACCCTGCAATCTATTACAGTAAATT